TGGTAGTACAGGCGGAATAAAAGCAATGTGATTAAATTCAAAGGAATGCATACATCGCAGCTCATTGCAGCCGAGAATGCCTGTATCGAGTAACACAGAGTGAGTTATTCTTGTCTTCGAAGAAAGTTTGCTATGCTGAGGTATAGTTCCCACTGCTGGTAAAGTGCGAATCGAAAAAATATTGGTTTCGGACAATCGCTACTATTGGCACCTGTGAATTGTCTACTTCAAAATATATTTTTTTCAAATTGCACAATAAAAATCATTTTTCAGAAAGCAAATTTATTAAATAGTTAAGCGATTGAATTGCTTTCATACCCGAAAAGTGCTCAATATCGAAACAGTACATGTAAATGGCTGTTTACATCTTGTTTTCATGTACTCGCAATCATAAAGGACTACAAGACTAATTGGACAGCTAAGTGGATAAATTTAAGTTTAATTCAATGTTATTCAATATAAAGTAATGTGCCTTGAATGAATAATTTCCATGGAATTTGCCAATAACTAGCAAAGTCATTTTGTAGGTGCTACAACTAGTTTCTGTAAAACGTTGACACAGGAGACTTTCTATTTCTGTAGATGCTACAACTGGTTTATGTCTATGTAACTGTTGGTTTATGTAACTAAACGTGAATAATATGAAATTATTCCAACTTGCATGATAAGAATAATAGTTTTTATAGCATATAGTCATTTTTGACCATTTCCTGGGGCTCGTTTCTCAAAAAGTCGTAGATTTGGGCCTAAGTTAGTCCGACTAAGTAAGTTACGCCAAAATTTAGACAGGTCTAAATCGCGTTTCAAAAAGCGGCGTAAGATTAGGTCTAAGACTAAGACATCTCCGCTAAGTACTAAGCATGCGCAGATCGTATTTTATTTGGTTTAGAGACTACAATTACATGTGGCGGATCAAATTAATATCAAACTTAAACTAAAATACAGAAGTAAGGCACGGAAAGCATTAGCGCGAGTGCATTTTTTTTTCTCTTTACCATCTTTATAACAGATATATTACGCAAACCTATCTGTATTTTCAAGGTCAAAGCATTAAAATTAAATAACTAATTTTGTATGCTCAGATAAATTAAAAAAAATCTATATAGGTACAAATTACATTAGAAAAGCGTAAACGTGCATGTACTCGATTGTAATATTTCGATACACAATCGTACATTAAAACCCAAACGATGTACATAGCATACGTACTTAGAAAAAAATTGGAATACATTAAGCATGAAGAATTTTGCTGAAGTAATTTCCTTTGAAAATAAGCCATATTGTCTTTCACTTATGTTTTACATTAAAATAAATACACATACGGTAGTGGCAAAGCCATGGAACGTTTGTAGCTACGGTTTAAAAAGTGGGGGACCCCCCCCCCCCCAAAAAAAATCTGACAATCCAAAAAACCTAAACAACCAAAAATTGGGGGTTGCTGGGGGGGGGGGACTTCCTAAATTAATTTGACCAAAAAAACTTCATTAACTGTCCAAGTCAAAAACCTAATGAACTGTCCAAGTCATGGAATTTGCCAGTTCTCGACCTTACAGCGACAGAAAGTGGAAGGAGGGGGAAGGGGGGGGGACCAGCATCTGAAGGAAAATTTAAATAGCAAAAAAACTACACTCAGAAAAAGTGGAGGACCGGGGCCCCTGGCCCCTTCGCCTTCTACGGACCTGTGGAAAATTTAACAATTATGAAATCATATATTATTAATATATGGATATGAGGTTTTTGAAAATTTATCAGTTGTGTTGAATTTATAATTTCAGAATAATCAATTCTAACTGAAATAATTTTTTTTTTTTTGGCATTATGCTGATACATATATTATAATACATGCATTACACTCTGGACATACAGTATAACATTGATATCGATATAATTTACACAGTCCATGTAAAAATACGCATATACAACATTTCCATTACCACACGCATTCTCAATAAAGGTCTGCAAAAGCTTAATTAGTTTTTAATCAATTTCTTGTAATCCATTTTACAGGCAAGCAATCTAGTATTTTTATAAATTTCTGAAATATTTTCATTTAATATATTTCCAGTCGGGATCAGATTTATTTAGATCGGGAAAGGTATAAATGTCAACATCACCATCTTCTTATTTTAAATCTAGTAATTCCGTTTCAATTTCTATTAAGAATGTGATCATGTAATATTTCTTTTATAGATGCAGAATATTTCTTGAAGATTTTATCTCCATATAAAGATATTACCAAGTCATGATTTTCATATTCATAAATATTTTTAGATAAGCAAAATTTCTTCTTGATATGTTTTATGAGTATAATGCATTAAATGACAGCAAATTTGAAACTCTGTTTCTCATTTACTCATAAAAACATTTTTAACACGTTATTGACCACTTTCTTTTCAAATGCATGTAATATAAAGTGTTTATCTGTTCATAAATCCATCAAAAGACACTCTCAAACAAAATTCGTCTGAGAAACGTACGATAGATTGTAAATTAATTAAAAACAAGTACCTATTTTGAAAAAAATGATAGACCAATCTGCACATCTTGTACGCCATGGCAGTTACTCCTTTGAAATAGGAAAAAACAGTATTACGGACAAGATAATTAATTACTGGAACATTTTACAAATTCATATTTTTCTGTTCTATAAATTTCATATTGAATTAAAGGGGAAATTAAGGTAAAAGGTTCATTAACTTGGCATAATTACCGAATATTTCTTATTATAGTAAACATATTAAATGTATATTGTTTGTGGAGTTTTTTTTTTTCAAAAACATTATCCATTAAAAAAAAAACAGGGACCCAGTGTCTGGGGGAGATGGGGAAGGGGGGGGGGGTAGGTAATTGAGTAACCAGAAAAAAAATATTCAGCAAACTTTGAAAGTACAAGAAAACAAATGCTGAAAGTGTAGGTCAGCCTAAATTTCAACTTAATTTTTAACAGAAAACACCATTACTGGAGAAAGCGGGAGGGTTGCAGCCCCTTCCCCATACTACGCGTGCCTGCTTTTTTTTTTTTTAACTCGGGCACTTCTTAATATCTTAAGCTTACCTAGTTTCACAATTCAAATTTCTTACTTACAAATGTCTAGGTCATCAAACCTTTTTACGGAAAAAAAATCTGCATCCTCGCTGGAGTTTTACTACCTTTCTATTTACCTACATAATAATTGTATATTTCATGATTTTTCGCATATCATGTATGTACATGAATAGGTATTACATCGTTTACGTACAAAATACTTATTCTTTTATCTCTTTATGATCAAAACACTTGCCACTTTTTTCAAGTTGTGTACAGACTAAGAACTTACGCCTACTCACGAGCAGGCCTAGATTTAAGCTTAACTTTAGTCTCGACTAAGTCTGCGCCTTTTTGTGAAACGCTCCTTGGTCCGATTTTGGGGTTTAGTCACTGACTTAGTCCGGACTAAGCTTACGCCTGGTCGTAGGCCTTTTTGAGAAACGAGCCCCTGAAGTGTTTTAACTAATTAAAATTATTTTGTTACTTTCAAATAGAATGTTATAGTATAAACGAGCAAAACGATGACACCGAATAAAACAAAATTGAACCAGGTGTATACGAATGTTTGATGGTTGTAATTTTTCTTTAAAATAGCGACCAAGCTTTTTAAAGTAATAAACGAATGCATAATGAAAACATTTTTCCTTGCAATATACAATATTGGCATCTTTAGTATTGAATTGCGTTTGACAAAATCCATTTATCCAGTAAGATCTCAAGCCCGTAGTATGCAAGTCGGGGTGTACTTTTTTCCCGCAAATAGTCTTTTGCCGTAGTTTTGTTTTCTTGTTTGTAATTTTTTATGTATAGACCTGCTTGCCCCCCCCCCCCCCCCAACTTTTCTAAATGCAAGGTAACTGCAGTACTGTAGCTCGCTGGTCTGAAAAAATGAAATAGACAACCAAAGAGCTGCAGTGCCACCCATACAAAAAGCTTGATTTAATATTAAAAAAAACTTAGACCTCTAGCAACTACTTCCGTATCTGACATCTGCACGAAGCGCGTTGAACCGAATTGTCTCTTGTCATCTTAAAAATGGTATAAAAAATGCGAAATTCGATGGTCTCAATCTCGTGTCAAGGAGGGCTATTTGCAACAGGTTTAAAGACTTTGGGAGGAGAAGATTTTCAAAAAATTATTCACTTTCAACATATGATCTATATAGCCCCAATCTAGCGCCAGAACCCCTGACCCTGGGGCCATGAATTTCAAAATTTAGATAGAGGGCCCAATGCTTATTACAATCATGCCAACAGTTTGACTGCTTGATGTCCAGGAGTAAAGAAGAAGATTTTTAAAGATTGCACCAATATTGGTGGTTTCAGCCCCACTCCTGGGGCCCCAGGGGGGCAGGGACCATGAAATTCACAATTTTTGTTCCCCTTTACCCATAGATTCTATATGCCAAAATTGGTTGAAATTGGTTGAGCGCTTCTAGAGGAGAAGTTGAAAATGTTCAAAAGTTAACGCACCACGCACGACAAAAATGGATAGCAATAGGTCACCAGAGTGACTCAGGTGACCTAAAAATTCAATTCCATTGTTTAAATATTGCAGTGAATAAATGTATTTTTACGTATTTTTTGCCATAAAACATTTCAATATTTTTCCATTGAAATTTAGAAACAATTTAATCAAATTAGATATTCTGCCAGAGATTTGCACATAACACTTTGTGATGTGAAACAAATTTTCCAGACAGTGAGCAGAGTTCGGATGCTTTTTAAGGAGAAAAACAAAAATACAAACAAAAAATAAATAAATAAATGGGAGAGGGCTACATTACTGCAGCTTAGGTTTGACCATCAAATGTGGGGTAGAATTTTTCATGGGACTTGAATGGGAAAGTATTTTTGTAAACAAAAATTTTGATGAACAGCATGGCAAAGGTGACTCAAGTGAGTACTGTGCCCCACAGGCCCTTTCTTTCATTGGATGGCACCGGCCAATTAATTTAGAAACAACAAAAAAGCTCATTGCATGCATCAACTTTAATAATGCTAGACATTCATAGTCTTCTTAACAATAAATGTACATATATTTAACTATTTAGAGAAAACAATGAATTTGGATTTAAAAAAAATAAACACCGTAGGAAAAAAAATATTTAAAAAACACCAAAGAGAAAAAAATTAAAACATCAAGATTCAAGAAAAAATAGTTTACAATACATAAGAATAGTCTACAGTATAACAGCCTTTAGAATCGCATGGAATGCAACTGCCAAATTGGAGAATTCTCAGGGTTTTTTCTACCCTTTCTCTTAGGTGATCTGCAAACAAAATTATAAACCGACATGTAAAGGGTTGAAAAGATAACTTAAATAATGCAAAAGATGTCATCAATTCATTTGATGCGTACAACAATAATTAATTCTATCCAATTCATCAATCTAAATTTAATAATTATTTAATCTCAATTGAATTCTGAATTATTGTATACATTAACTTGAAAGTTGATATAATAAATATTGGCCGAATTAAAGCACAATACCAAATTTAATTTTTTCTCCTAAAAAATTGATAATGAGCAACTGATACACACAATAATTCAGTTAAAGATAGCACTTGAAATTAATTCAAGCAAACGTTAAATTTGTTATCCTGGTCAACAACATACTTTCACATGCTAAGTAAATCAGCTAGTAAGACCATAATAACCCTAAAAATTGGTCTATTACAATTTAATTTAAGAATAGGAAAACATGAAGGTGGTAATAATGAAAAAGCACTCGTGTACAAATTTAAGTGGGGGATTCAGTAACATTATTGTATAATTTTGTTCGTAGCACTATTCCTGAAATAGAATTATTTGCTTTTAATATTTCATAAATAGCTGAAATTTTTGTAGTGAAAAAAAACTTCTGAATTTATAGTAAGTACTGCAATTGGTCTGCAAGTCATTGTGTGACATTGCTATAAGTGCTTATATTAAACAATGTTAAAAAGGCATCTACAGTATGTCAAATTGTGAATCAATGAAGTAAGGATAAAGTATAATATACTATAGCTGTAATAATTTAGCCCTCTCCGATTTTTTATTTTATGAAGACCCCCCCCCCTTCCATAAAAAGCCAGAGGGCTACATTATTGCAGCTAATAATATACTTGTGCAGTCCATCATTAAGAAAAGAAATGTGTTAAAATAAATTGTAAGAAAAAAAGCCTTCGTTGATTTGACTTTTTTTTTTGTTATAATCAGAACAGATGTAACAAACATACAAAATCTTGTAATTATAAAACTGTTAATGCCTGTATGATAAAAATAGATAATTTCAATTTATACATAGTCCAACACGATATTGTAAAAGAACATACATACCTCATCCAATTGTCTCCAGACAAAGCAAATTTATGCATAAAAATAAACAACATATATTATAAATGATAATATCAGATATAAAAAAAGAGCTATGGTTGACCCTGTATTACGAGCCTATAAAGAAAAATGCTACCAGGAAATAACATTCTTACAGTTTTCTGTTTACAAGTACTTCATTACACATGTTTAGATACTAACTTACTTATGAAATTGTTTTCCAATGTCTGGTAAGTTTTTAAAGAAAAATCCTTGCTTATTAACCAATGAAATAAGTTTACTAAATATTTAAACTTTTTTCATTCGAATCATTTTGAATTTGTATAATTTTGCTTTTAATTAATTTTTTCCTTGAAAAAAAAAAATAATAAAAACTGACTTTTAAAAAAATATTTTCACCTATACCAAGGGGTCTATGATTCAAATAAATCTCAAGACTATATAAAATAAGCCTGGAAAGAAAACTAACAACTATGATAATATTATAACATGTTGGCACTTTTGAAAAAAAAAATGTTTACAAAGGACAAGATAGGCTAAGACCCATTTTTGGCCCCTGGTTTGGGGTGTCCTTTAGAATGATGCAACAGCTTATTAATAAAGCCTGTTTTCATCCTGCCACAAAAAGAGTATTGGTTCTAAGTTACGGGATACACAAAGGTCAAAGGAAGGTCAAAAAATATGTCAATTTCCGAGTTTTCTCATTTTCATTGATTTTACAGCACATTCTGTTTCAGATAACATAGAGAACAAGCTTGCCTATCTACCAAATTTATATATTTATACACTAGCATCAGATGCATCTTGTGTATAAAAATCTTAGATAGGGAAGTGTGTACTCTATTGTTTTCTGAAGTGAAAAGTATCTCAAATTTGATGAAATCCCACCAGAATTGAGGAAATTCGGGAAAATGTCCCAGTCCTCTGCACCCACTTGTGGCCTTTGTGTAAGATTTGAATCAAAATTAGTGCTTGTTTTGAAACAAGCATCATTTTAGCTCTAAACTACAAACTATCATAGTTTTAACTGTGTTCTGATTTTTACATAATAAGGGGCCAGATTCGGTCCTTACCATACTTTGTCCTTTATATATCGTATCATTTAAGTAAATATATAATTACTTTCATAAACCATATTATTCATCATTTAATACTTTCTCTAAAGTATTCTATTATTAAGGGAGTACTGTCAAATTTGGTGACAATGAGGTCACTTGGATCTTAGATTTTGCATCCTCATATCCATATTCAGAGAAACAAATTAAAAAGTCTTTTAAGGGATTAAAATTAAAAACATTCCTTGTAGCTGAGATTTCCTTATAAGCAAATTCTCTAAAACCAAATTTTCCTGTATAATAATCCAATGTAAGCATTTTAAAATCATTTCGATGGAAAAGAAGGGGGAGATGAGAGTCAAGTATTTTGCATCTTATAATAATTTCTGTTAGGAAAATTATAAAGCCTAAAGGTCTTCAATAACCATGTTAGACAGGAAAAACGCTGAATATAGGTATAATCAATTATGAAAGAAAATTTGAGATTAGAAACTTTGATCACTGTCATTTATGATGGGAAGTTGCTAATCATAGTGGGTCACTATGGCAGGCCAGACCATTTAATGGGGGGAAATTTTACTAAAATAAGATAAAAGTCGACAAAATTAAATACAAGATGTGTGTGGGTTATAATGTTCACCTCAATACCTTTCAGTATCTAAATAATGCCAAATTGTTTTCTTTGTTATTAGATTTGGAACATACTCCTGTTTACTAATTAAAACACTAGTCTTTTAGTTATTTTTGGACCAAAACTGAACATATTAGTAAAGAACAAAGAACGTTATTGGCTATACACGGCTGAGAAATTTGAGATTTTTCAACATTTTTTTTTTGGTGCAAATTTCTTAAGTTTTGTTTACAATGAGATCATTTAGCGAATGTCAATTAACTTGTATGAATAAGACGTCATATGCAAAAGTGACACTATAAAACTACGTCAAACACCAGCCGCTATACCAAATCTGTTTATATTTCATGGAATATCAGTAAACCGTGATCGGGAGGTCGTGAGTTTGAATCTCGACCGTGACTGACCTAAGTCGATAATAAATGGGTAGCAACTGTTCCTTCGCCATGCGCTCGGCACTTTGAAGTGAAAGTTGCGGGTCCTTTGGATAAGACCTTAAAAACCGAGGCCCCGTGTCACGGCAGGCGTTGGAATGATAAAGAACCCTCACTGCTCAATGGCCCTCAGTGCTGCGTAAAGGTCAAAATTTGAAGCTAGAAAACTTTTGAAAAAGTTTTACAGGTCTTTAGATGTTTGACCCTATATGCCTCAAACTGTCTTATAATCTTCTGCAGACCTCAGGATCATGAAGCAGTTATAGCCTTAAGTCAGAAAATGTTCATGGCAATATCAGAGTCTTATCATAAAAAACATAAAATCTGAATTAATTGTCCATTTAAAGCAGTCCCCTGTTTTATGTTGTTAATTTTAAATTTTAAGAGTTGGCATAATATAATAAATATAAATAATTTATGAGTGACTGAAATTTTGATTTGAATGGTGGTCGGATGGGTTTGATTGCCAGAGGCCAGATTGCTCAGTTGGTAGAGGGTCCGGGTTGAAATCTTAGTCTGGTCCACTTCATTTTTCCTCCCATTACATTTGAACTGCCAGGGAAGAGCTTGGGTTGATGTCTTCGGTGGCTTAAAACCCTTAAGTAGGGAGGACTGTGGCAGTCAGATAGTTGTGATCCCCGGAAGCCATATAGCTGAGTTAATAGAGCACCTGACTGGAGATTCATGATGAGGCCCAGGTTCAAATCTATCTGGTCCATTGTATTTTTCTTCTCTCCTTTTACAGACAGGTCTATCAAACCAGGCACAGATTCAGCTGGTGGTGCCCCAGACATGTACCCCTCTACCCCCTCCCTTTCAAATATAGGTTTTACTCAACAAAACCAAAAATGTCGCGGGTTCGAATCCCCCTGTGAGACGTGGAGACAGGTCCTTTGGATGAGACCATACAAACTGAGGTCCTGTGTCACAGTAGGTGCTGGCAAGAAAAAGATCCCTCACTAAGTGCCGAGCATAGTTAAAAATTTGCAGCTCTCCACCGGCAAGTGGTGGCATCTCCATTTGAGTGAAAAATTCTTGAGAGGGACGTTAAACAACAAACAAACAAAAACAAAAAATTATAGCCATTTATGCATTCAAATGAGATTCACTAAATCGCTGATTTCAGGGAGATTACAAGGCCTTTGCTCAAGACCAGTCACCACCACCAGACAGAGTCTTTGATGACCTGCTGAGGACCTTCTTGTCAGTACCCAGACCACTCATCTAATAATAACCCCTCTAAATCCCGGATTCACACTTGTACACTGCTTCAAGAATCATGATCCTGGGGCCAGGTCTCTGTTTTTCATGGAAAATACGAGTATTATATCTACATGACATACCCATAGGAGTAGAATGTCTATATTATGTACCCACAGGAGTAGCGTGTCTATATAATGTACCTACATGTATAGGAGAAGCATGTCTACATTAATACATACCTATAGAATAAGCATGTGTACACTACATACCTATAGAATAAGCATGTCTACACTACATACCTATAGAATAAGCATGTCTACATTACGTACCTCTAGGAGTAAGCATGTCAACATTACGTACCTGTAGGAGTATGTCAACATGACCTACCTCTAGGAGTAAGCATGTCAATATTTGTACCTCTAGGAGTAAGCATGTCTATATTATGTACCCATAGGAGTAGCATGTCTACATTACATGCCTCTAGGAGTAGCAAGTCAATATTACGTACCTATAGGAGTAAGCATGTCTACATTACGTACCTGATGTGTCCATTTCTTGAAGCCTTCTTCTGCTCAGTTGTTCCACCTACAAGTTCACAGACAAGAATAACTTGTAATAGTTCTACAATGATTGATATTAATTCTTAATAAGGAATGAAATACTAGTTGGTAACTTTTCTCTATAATGTTATGTTTTTGGAGAAAAAAAATGTGTTTACCAATGGCAAAAAGAATAATGTTATGCACAATTTATTTCTTGAGTATTTAAACATTCTACATGAGTGACATATTTACAAGTATATGCTTTTCTTTTTTATTCTTATGTATGAATGTGAAATGTGAAGACAATGAACAGTTAAATTGATCATCAAAATCCAGAGTTTAGTATACAAATCATGAACAGAGAGAATGGATCAGGTTTAAAAGAAGATTTACCATCTCAGCCTACATGCCCTCTGTATTGATCGGGTTAACAAAGAAATCTATAGTCAAATTTACATTTAAAAAAAAAACAATGGCCTGACAACTGGAAGAAAAATCATAATCCATTGTCTTAAGCTATATGTTGCATTGCAGTTGCATTGCAAATAGTCACTGTAACAAATACTGTAAATCAGTTTTAATTCGCGAGAACTTTATTTTCGCATAATTACGCGAGAGGGCCTGCTTGTGAAAATTTCATTTCCACGTAAATTTTTGTTAGTATAGATTATATACAACACTTTTGTCTCATTTATATATACCAAATACATATCTCACAAAAATAAGGTGTTCTACAGTAATTAATAGATAGAATTTCTATAATGCTGACTTTGAAGAAGGTATCTAAAATATCTTTGTGACATCAATTTATTTGTTAGTAGCCTGTTTTGGTTTAAAAACTGATTGTACTCGAAACATGCTCGGGCATACAAAATTCAAGCTTGCAATCTCTTTCATTGGTTATTGAATGGTGTTAAGTACTATCAAAGAGCTGTCAGAATTTTTTTTTTCAGAAGTTGTTTTAAATGACCCCACTCCATTTCTGCCTTTTCTTGATTAACTCTTGGAATGAGAACCATGTCCAAGATAATTTTTACATTTTTAATGTTAATTACAATTTAAGATTCAATGTCTAACATTGCTTTAAATTTATAATGGACTTACATTTAGAAGTGCTGTATTGTTGAACTTTTGGATGTTGTTCGCACAGCAGGCTTGAAGAGCTAACAATTGGCATGTAGGCATGACAATTAAAATCTTGCGCCATCTCCTCCGACATGTTGGTTACTTCAACTTCAACAGCCTCGTTTTCAAAATCAGCACTTGAGTTGGCCTGTTATTGAAAGAAAAAAAAAAGATAGGAATAAAAAAATCAAAAAGCAAAATTTCTGAAGATTCCTGTGAATGTTCAATTGTTCATTGATGTTATTGATGTGAACTTTAACCACCATAACTTGTCACATGCAACGTAGGCTTACTGACGGGAAGTGCACTTCAGTGCAATAATATCAAAGATGAAGGATTTAACAAATAATGACCAGTCTTATAAATCTTATATAACATAATACTTAATCTTATGAATTATACTTCTAGATTATAAAATGTGAGATTTTGTGAATTGACATTTTATCAAAAATTGCTACATGGATAAAAATAAATAAGAATAATGTGAGCAATGTCTCAAGCAATGTTAATTTCTAAAAGGTAAGTTAATGGTAAATTAATAGAATTATGTGAATATAATAAAATTCATGCATAATATTTATGAATGTAACAACAGTAAGCTTCATGTCATGAAAATAATCTTTTAAAATGCTTGAAAAATACAAGATAAAGAAATATGTTATACTTAGAATTAAAGAAGAAAGATCTATTTTAGGAAGAAAAGATAGCAGATATAAGAAAATAAAAAAAAATGATGACCTACTTTTAAGTAATTGCTGATGCTTTGTGGGCTATTCATGTCCCTCTTGTTTACACAGACATTTAGTGGGTCTTCCTCCTCGAGTTCAAATGAGGTCTGAGCCCTTGTTAAGTAAAACAAAAACAGCTGTTTGAAGCATATACTTGTGAATTATTAAGGTATTCAATGTATAACGACCATATTTTGTACCTAAAAAATGAATGGTCCAATATTTTTAATCACAGTAGCATTTTGAAGGTGTTACCTAATAAAAATGCTCCACCAAATGAATTTACAAAATTTTGATTATTTTCCAGTTAATTGCACCTTGAATTTTACATTGAAGTCTATGGGCAGTGCATGTTTTTTTAAGATATTGTAAAAAGTAATTTGAATTTCAAACAAATCTCTTGGTGAAAATAAGCATAAACTCTGTCTCTATTAATCTATGAAATAAAATGAATCATTTACCGCAGAAATTTTTAGAAATTAATAATTTTCTGATTTTAATCAAGGGGAGATAACTCTTCAAAACTTTTAAGGTGCAAAATGACCGTCGTCTTACTTGTAATCAGTCATGTGAATTTGGTTCATTTCACTTTTATCGTTATCAAGCAATGCATTTTTAAATAGTTTAAATTTATTCAAAATTGATAAAAATCCCTTCATTATACATTGAATACCTTAAACTCAGTGCTGAATGTGTTAATAAGTTTTTTGTTCAAAAAACAGGGTTGTCCCTTAAAATTGATATAGCAGGGGACATTGAAAAGTAGAAAGGGGGTTTGGGGCTTCAAGAATCACAAGACTCGAATAATCATTTTAACTGTAAACACTTTGATCTACCTTTTAATGACTCTTCAGACAGTTACAAAATGAATGACTAAAAGGGCTTACAGCTGGTTAAAATGATTATTCGAGTCTTGTGATTCTTGATTTTTTTTTTCATTGGATATATCTACATCTTATGATCTCTCTCTCTCTCTCTCTCTCTCTATATATATATATAATTATGTGCAAGTCAAAATAAATTGTTGATTGAATCATGAAGGAATAATTAACAGTAGTTCAATAAAATATTAAACATGATTTAAGAACTCGACCTATCAGAGAAAGTGGAATTAATTAATTTCTAGTAAGGTACATGGGTTATGAAACCTTTATATAATTGATTTAAAATAATATTATTGAAATGTGAAAAATGAATAAAAATTATTTACCAATTGGCTAAGGTTATCATATTGACGCAGTTCAGGTTATTCCTCAGTGGTGGGAATTTTTTAAAACAAAGAAAAAGCTCCTTTCTTGACATAAGAGAAAATCTGATGCAGCTCATCACTTTTTCTAAATGCAGGGCTCTTTTTTCGAAATCATGGTGCTGTATCCAAGAAACTGCAGCCGAGAAGACGTCGAATTCAGTTGGCACCATGATAGTGTCTGATGACAGGATCATGCACAGCGTGTCTGGATCAAGATGGAAAAACGCTGTGCATTCCTTTGCCTCCATGAAATTTTTTGTTATTTTAGTAACTATAAAGTTACAAATTTCCCATTCCTCTAGCTTTGTCATAGTTGGTAATAGGTGTAATAAGGCCTCATAGCTTAGTTTTTCTAATTTCCTAAGGCACATTTTTCTCACATCCTGAACTTCGAAGACATGAGCTAATTTAATAATATCACTAATACAAGATGATGTGATATTTAACCTTCCTGTATAAAGGTAGTCCAAAAATGACTTTAGGGCTTCCTCGGAAACTCCTCTCACTCTTATGACCTTAGGGGCTACAGGTTCTGTTGAAAACGCGTCTCTTTCAAAAATGTCTTGAAAAAGTTGGCTTTGAGAAGCCAAAACGATCCGGTGTGCCGGAAAACATGTGTTATTAATTTTGAAACAAATGTCACATATTTGTTTCTTTTCGTATTTTTTTGTAATGTAGTCCCCTAAATGTGAATAATGGGAAACCGCTTCATTTTCACTGGGCTCTAGGTCAGGATCACTGATTTCTCTTTTCGTGTTTTCATTTCGATCCTTATCTGTAATAGCAAATAATATATAATTATGATTGACAAAAGTATAACTATAAAACATGTCTCATCCTGATACCACTGATTCCCAAAAATATGGCACAACATTCTGGATTAGGCAACATTTTAAAAAATTTAAAACACTTTAAACCATTGAAAAAACTGAAAAGGGACTTAAGGTTTTCATCATATTAGGCAACATTTCAGAAAACACAACATAAAGATTACAAAAGTTTTACTGTTATTTTACTATGCATATTTTACCATATAATATTTATCTGTTTGTAACTGCTGATGTGAGTAGGATGTCCACCCAGAATATAAATTAGTGTACCCTACTACACACACATGCACATGGCCTCAAAATATGACCTGACACTCAGTAACCTTTTGACCTGTTTACTATCGACACAGAATTGTCCTCAGCAGTTTTGCCTTTTCCCGTCTTCATTAAAGTCAGGTAATGTCTATATTATTTACATTGCAACGGGAAAGGAGGAAATTATGACCAGATCTGGATTTGAACGAACCCCCTTGAATCACCTTGTGACAAGATCTTCCATTTGATACCAACCACTTTGACCTATTGACCTTCATCTAGGAGTTTGACCTACTTTGGAAAAACTTTAACCTTGGCCATAACTTTTGAATGGTTGGTGCTCAGGCTTTCATACTTAAAATAGGTAATCCTTGTGACAAGACCTTCCTTTGGTTACCAACCACTTTGACCCTTTGACCTTGATCTAGGAGTTTGACCTACTTTTGAAAAACTTTAACCTTGGCCAAAACTTTTAAATGGTTGGTGCTAGGGCTTTCATACTTCACATATATAATTCCTGTGACAAGATCTTCCTTTGGATACCAACCACTTTGACCCTTGGACCTTGACCTTGGAGTTGACCTACTTTGAAAAAAACTTTAATCTTGGCCATACCTTTTAAACATTTGGTGCAAGGCTTTCATACTTCACATACGCATTCCTTTGGACAAGACTTTCCTTTGGATACAACAATTTTGGCATTGACCTTGACCTAAGAGTTTGATTTACTTTTAAAAAAACTTTAACCTTGGCCATACTCGTGAACATTTGGTTCTAGGGCTTTCACATTTCATGAACATGTGTATCACTTGTGACAAGACCTTCTCTTGGGGCTCCATTTGACCTTGACATTTTACTTACTTTAATAAAACTTTAACCTCTGCCATATCTTTTGAACAGTTGGGGCTAGGGCTTTCAAATTTCAATGGTATAAACAAGACCTTTCTTTGGGTACCAACATTTTTGATCTCTTGACCTGGAGTTTGACTTGCATTTGAGAAACTTTCACCATCACATAATCTGCCATAGGTAGGCAACACTCAAAAAGAGAAAGGATCTGTTCAAAATCATTGTATGACGAATGCACTAAAACAGTTTTAGACTTTTGAAGAGACAAAATATGTATGGTAAAATAGTCGGTTACAGTGGATGACTGATTTAGACTGACCAAGTAATTGGCTTACATTATTGTTAAAAATACACCAGGTACTGTAAAGATTGAATATTAGAATATAATACACTTAAAAGAAACTCAGCAATATTCAATAGTAAACCAAATTCCGGGAAAATCTTCTGATTTCAGAGATGTGTTACAAACTATGGTATTTTTCCCTAAAACTGATTCTGTTAATTTTCATTTATTTTTTTGGTCGCCCGCGTGGTGCAGTGGTTAGAGCGTCTGCTCTTGAGTCGTGAAGTAAGGAGTTGATCCTTACGACACGGGTTTGAATCCCACTGTGGGACGTGGAGACCGGTCCTTCGGATGAGACCGTATAAACCAAGGTCACATGTAGCAGTAAGTGCTGGCACAAAAAAGATCTCTCACTGCTCAATGGCCATAAGAGCCAAGCAAAGGACAAAATTTGCAGCTCTCCACCAGCAGGAGGTGGCATCTCCATATGAGTGAAATTCTTGAGAGGGACATTAAACAACATACAAGCAAGCATTTATTTTTTATAGTTACTCTAAATTGTTTCAAAGTAATTTTATTTTAAAAAAATAATTATTTTTTGCAAAATGATGTGTTATGCTTTAAGAGCATACAAGCATACATGGAAATTACACTTGCCCCCCCCCCCCCCTCCCCCCCTCTTTTTTTTTTTTTTCCAAAAATGATGTGGGTGTTTGTGTGTACAAACATAAGCATTGCTACGCGCCTGAAAGTTCAATTTTAATCCAAATCAGTTTTGTTCAGATCAGAATATGAAAAGGCTCTCATAGGTTCAAATGAATGCAAGATGGTCATGAACAAAATTAGTACATATCTAAATTTCTGGTACAAAAATTTCCACTTAATATATTAAATACTAACTACTGCAACCCTGTCCTTGCTGCAACCCAGAAGATTGAGCTGAATGCTGAGCAACCCAGTTGCTCACTTGTCTTATTTTGCTCGTTTCACTGGGAGCCCTTTTTACTGGTTCAGATGGAGGCGTTGATGGTTTTGAGCGCCTGTATTCTTCCTTGCCTTTATAAAAAATGACAGAGAACATATAAACACAATCACTGATTAATTACTCAAACATACTTGGATGACATTTTAAGGTCATTAACTAACTAGTACTACAAATGCTTTCTCCTTAAATAATAAAGGAGCTGGCACTAGAGCTACTGCTACTCAGAGACAGCTTCATAAAATGTTTCCTGCCTTTCCAAAATTATACTAAATAACAAAGAAAGTATGAAAACAATCATTGATTCAGAACAAATTTGTATTTGGATTGACAAGGATTATATAACTTACCACTACCATTAGTGGAGCCGCTGCTCTCACTTTGTATAGAACTAAGTGAGGGGCTGTATCTCTTGGAAGCTGTAAATGTGAAAATGTTTTTATAGTGAAAATTTAACAAGAATTAAATCTGTGAACCAATGCTCACTAATTATATCCCCTCTCTGATGAAAAAAAAACGCTCCTCTAAATCCCACCACATGGCAGGTCTAAACAAAAATTTGCAAAACTTAAGCCATGTTCGAGGTCTGTTCTGTTTTTGTAAAAAATGTGGACAAACCACTCAAAATGAGAAAGGATCTGTCCAAAATCGTTGTACGATGAACCCACTTAAAACAATTTTAGACTTTTGAAGAGACAAAATATGTATAGTAAAATAGTCGGTTACAGTGGACAACTGATTTAAACAGACCACGTTAATTGACTGATAGTCACAGTCTTACATTAATTTTAAAAAATACACCTGTAAAGATTGAATATTAGAAATTATAATGGACTAATAAAAATAAAACTCAGCAATATTCAATAGTAAACCAAATTCCAGGAAAAATCTTATGATTTCAGAGATGTGTTACATACTATGGTATTTTTTCCTAAAACTGATTCTGTTAATTTTCATTTATTTTTTATAGTTACTCTAAATTGTTTCTAGTAAGTATTTTTTTTTTATTTAAGAAAATAATTATTTTTTGCAAAATGATGTGTTATGCTTTAAGAGCATACAAGCATTCATGAAAATTACACCCCCCCCCCCCCCTCTCCTTTTTTTTTTGAACCAGAAGTCTCTGACGAGACTGTAGCTCTACTGGTTGTACTTAAAAAGGGAGACAAAAGTTGCACTTGGACTTGAAACTTTGCAACAGCAATAAATAGATGGATTGATTATTATTGTTTAATGCCGAGTTGGCAATATTTCAGCCATATTTCGGCAAACAATCATTTTTATAAATGATTGTTGGTTTAGTCTCTTTTTGTGGCAAGATTTATTGCAATCAGACTAGAACTGTAGGAGGACTAGCCGTTTAAAACAATTTTAATTTACAGAAATTTCGATTTAAGTAACCATGACAACATCATTCAACAAAATAAAAAAACAATAACATCAATTATGTATGTCAGTGTAGTCCACTAGTATGCCACGTTATACTGAAATCAGACAAAAAGTGTAGGAGGAGTAATGTTTTGAATGTATTTCAAGAAAATTTCTATTTTTAGTAACCATTGCAACACTGTTCATTGAAATCCAAAACTGGTATAGAGAATTATGTATCCTAGTGTAGTCTACTTGTGTGCTAAGTTATATTGATATCAGACCAAAACTGTAGGAGTAGCATTTTGAAAGTATTTTCCAGAAATCTCTATTTTTAGTAACCATGGCAACACCATTCATTGAAATCAAAAACAGATTAATAGAATTATGTATCTTAATGTAGTCTACATGTGTGCCAAGTTATATTGAAATCAGACCAAAACTGTAGGAGGAGTAGCGTTTTGAAAAATTGTTTACAGATGGACGGACGGACAACGGACACCTTACTATCGCAAAAACACTTCTTTTCTCTGACCAGTAGAGCTAAAAATGATGTGGAGATTTGTGTGCACAAACATATGCCTGGCTACGTGCCTGAAAGTTCAATTTTAATCCAAATCAGTTTTGTTCAGATCAGAATATGAAAAGGCTCTCATAGGTTCAAATGAATGCAAGATGGTCATGAACATAGTTACATATCTAAATTTCTGGTACAAAAATTTACACAAAATATATTAAATACTAACTACTGCAACCCTGTCCTTGCTGCAACCCAGAAGATTGAGCTGAATGCTGAGCAACCCAGTTGCTCACTTGTCTTATTTTGCTTGTTACACTGGGAGTTGTTACTGGTTCAGATGGAGGCGTTGATGGTTTTGAGCGCCTGTATTCTTCCTTGCCTTTATAAAAAATGACAGAGAACATACAAACACAATCACTGATTAATTACTCAAACTTGGATGACATTTTAAGGTCATTAACTAACTAGTACTAAAAATTGTGTTCTCCTTAATAAAGGAGCTGGCACTAGAGCTACTGCTACTCAGAGACAGCTTCATAAAATGTTTCCTGCCTTTCCAAAATTATACTAAATAACAAAGAATGTATGAATACAATTATTGATTCAGAACAAATTTGTATTTGGATTGACAAGGATGATAACTTACCACTACCATTAGTGGAGCCGCTGCTCTCACTTTGTATAGAACTAAGTGAGGGGCTGTATCTCTTGAAAGCTGTAAATGTGAAAATGTTTGTGTAGTGGAAATTTAACAAGAAGTCTGTGAACCAATGCTCACTAATTATACCCCCTCTCTGATGTAAAAATACATTCCTCTAAATCCCACCATATGGCACATCTAAACAAAAATTTGCAAAAACTTTCAAACATCTGTGATGAGTATAGTTCAGATGAGAAAACTGCAAAGGAAATTTGGTATGGACAGACACATAATGAATAAACAGAAAGCTGACATCAGATTCCTGCGTAAATAAATGCCACCACATAGCATCATATAATGCACTTAGAAAAAACTCACCAATATTCAATAGTAAACCAAATTCCAGGAAAATCTTATGATTTCAGAGATTTGTTACATACTATGGTATTGTTCCCTTAAACTGATTCTGTTAATTTTCATTTATTTTTTATAGTTACTCTAAATTGTTTCTAAGTATTTTTTTTTATTTTAAAAAATTTATTTATAAATTCATTTATTTTTTGCAAAATGATGTGTTATGCTTTAAGAGCATTATACAAGCACACATGGAAAGAACTACGCACGCTAACTCTCATTCTCAATTCCCGCCTACATTTTACACCCATTTAATTCAATATTACTAATAGCAATTTGGCCGTAAAATCTTTGTTTAATGCACTCAAGAACAATTCAATGGTAATTGACTGATAATTTTAATTCCAGTGTTAACCCTAACCCTAATTCCAGCTCTTTAAATAAGGGGGGGGGGGGGATAATATTTTCATTGAAATCGGATTTAAAGCATCACCACATTTTAAAATACACTTAGATATGAATAAATGTTCCTTAAATCTTTTTTTTTATGTTTTACTCAATACATACAAAATTAAACATAATTATAACTAGAAACTCTGCTATTGCAAGCAATATAGCTTATGTCACCCCGAACCAAACCATAAGCTTTTAGATTGTTCAATGCTTAAAGAAATGGGAATTCATAGAAACACACCCCCCCCCCCCCCCCTACACACACACACACACTTTCACACACAAACTAAACAAGTTACAGATGCTAGGTATGATCGAACCAAAGTTAAGGAAAGTGAAAGTAGAGCTTGCGAAGTCATTCAAGATTCATATCAAAACATGGCTGAGGCAAAATAATTCCTTAATTTTCCTCTTCAATTTGGACATTTCTGCACTGGAAAGGGGCTGATTTTTTTAGCTCACCTGAGCCGAAGGCTCAAGTGAGCTTTTCTGATCACATTTTGTCTGTAGTTCATCTGTCCGTCTGTCTGTCCGTCTGTAAACTTTTCACATTTTCGACTTCTTCTCCAGAACCACTGGGCCAATTTCAACCAAACTTGTCACAAAGTGTCCTTGGGTAAAGGGGATTCAAGTTTGTTCAAATGAACGGCCACGTCTTGTTCCAAGGGGAGATAATTAAGAATTCATGAAAAATTAATGGCATCATTAAAAAATCTTCTTCTTAAGAACCACTGTGCTTGAAAACATGAAACTTATGTGGAAGCATCCTCAGGTAGTGTAGATTCAAGTTTGTTCAAATCATGACCCCCGGGGGTAGGGTGGGGCCGCAATGGGCGATCAAAGTTTTACATAGGAAATATACAGGAAAAATCTTTAAAAATCTTCCTCTCAAGAACAGCAAAGCTATAATTGGTCATATTTATATGGTAGCATCCTCAGATAGTGTAGATTCAAGTTTGTTCAAATCATGACCCCCGGGGGTCGGGTGGGGCCACAATAGGCGATCAAAGTTTTACATAGGAATATATAGGAAAAATCTTTAAAAAATCTTCTTCTCAAGAACAGCAAAGCCATGATTGGTCATATTTACATGGAAGCATCCTCAGATAGTGTAGATTCAAGTTTGTTCAAATCATGACCCCCGGGGGTCGGGTGGGACCACAATGGGCGATCAAAGTTTTACATAGGAATATATAGGAAAAATCTTTAAAAATCTTCTTCTCAAGAACAGCAAAGCCATGATTGGTCATATTTACATGGAAGCATCCTCAGATAGTGTAGATTCAAATTTGTTCAAATCATGACCCCCGGGGGTTGGGTGGGGCCGCAATGGGCGATCAAAGTTTTACATAGGAAATATACAGGAAAAATCTTTAAAAATCTTCCTCTCAAGAACAGCAAAGCCATAATTGGTCATATTTATATGGTAGCATCCTCAGATAGTGTAGATTCAAGTTTGTTCAAATCATAACCCCTAGGGGTCGGGTGGGACCACAATGGACGATCAAAGTTTTACATAGGAACACATAGTAAAAATCTTTAAAAAAAAAACTATTTGTTAAGAATAGCAAAGCCATGATTGGTCATATTTATATGGTAGCATCCTCAGATAATGTACATTCAAATTTGTTCAAATCATGACCCCCGGGGGTCGGGTGGGGCCAAAATGGGTGATCAAAGTTTTACATTGGAACACATAGTAAAAATCTTTTAAAAAAAAAAACTATTTGTTAAGAATAGCAAAGCCATGATTGGTCATATTTATATGGAAGCATTCTTAGATAGTGTACATAAAAGTTTGTTCAAGCATGAGCCCTGGGGATCGGGTGGGGCCACAATGGGTGATCAAAGTTTTACATAGGAATACATAGGTTAAATCTTTAAAAATCTTCTACTCAAGAACAGCAAAGCCATGATTGGTCATATTTAAATGGAAGCATCCTCAGATAATGTAGATTCAAATTTGTTCAATTCATGACCCCCCCCCCCCCCAACCACTTTTATATTTAAACTTTTCAACCTTTCAAGATTGAAGTGATTTCTACTTTTTCCTAGCCATAGTGCTCAGGTGAGCGATGTGGCCCCTGGGCCTCTTGTTTTTTATGAGATGACAAACTATGTGTAAACTTTCTTAGTTTAGCAGAATCATGAACATTTCCAGCGTGCTGATTGTTTTGTCTATATCAGTGATGAGGCCTTTACCGAACTGCGGGAGCAGATCCAAGGATTTTCCATTAATACAAATGACGTTTCAATAATTCTAAATATCACTGAATGAAATTATTCACATGCAAGTAATACATTCACAAGAAAACTCAAAATGCTACTTTAAAAAACAAGAGGCCCAAGGGCCTTAACGGTCACCTGAGTATAATACAACAATTTAGAAGTTAAGGACATATGCAACATACCTTACCTACTGATAATTTTTCAAGATATTCTTTAAGATTATAGTGCATTCAGATGTTCATAGACAAAAAATCAGCATGCATTACCAGGGGTTTTGAAAAGATATCAATTAATTAAAATTCTTATATAATTCAAAGAAAAATATACAAAAATTACTAAACATATATTCTAGATGTTTTGTTTATCCAAACTTGTTTAAGAAGTATACAACAGCATACATACCCCTGCGAGATGATCATGAATAATTCATGATTTTCCTTATTATGTACATGTAGTTCATTCCTGGTAAAATTATGAAAAATTTCAAACATGACTCCTTGCAGAATCCTAAACCTTACTTGGTCAAGAGGAAGGTGGGGTCCTTCCTCAGCATATTTCAAAGTGTTTTTTTTTAAATGTAGCACACAGTTCCTTTAAGAATTGGAACTCTTCAACTCCAGGGAAAAAGACAATAAAGTTCAAACTACGTTGCGTATGTCCTTAAATACACTGATAGATGAAGCTTTGTTGCCCTAAAGCAAGAGAAGTAGGAAGATCAGGATCAACAAAATAATTAGTCTAGTATTCAGTATCAGCTCATAAATTAAGTTCTAATCTGTCCCCCACTTAACACTATCACCATGCATGCAGACTATAAACAAACTATTAGTGCTTCTGTACTATTTTTAAACCCATATAAAGACCTCTAGCATTGACCTCTCTTATGGTCTTTAAAGAACTTTTAATAAGATAAGTTATTTTTGTCTCATTTTTATTTATCTATTACTTACAGGTCTACCTGATTATTAAAACTAAGAAAATACTTTTTGAATTATATAAACATTCTTGCATAATTATCTTGTACCATAGGACTGGCAGTAAATTTAGATTTTGCTTTCATGTTGCTGTGGTGTATTTGCCAGAAGAATCACAGTTTTTTTAAGTCACGCCCACCTTTTGGCATCAAGCCATACTGTGTCAAGACCTTGACTAATGAATGAATGATGTCAATTTCAAGACCAAGGCAATGGCTGATGAATGAATTAAGTCAACATTTTAAATTTCAAAAATACTAACATTATTTAGCTTGTCGGTGTCCGCTTCATAAATGGTTCTGTATGTTTTCTCCGCGTATCCTTAATCAGTAAATGATACGTCCTATCTCGAATTCTCGTCATTTTCTTTCCCGTCTCCAAATACATATAGCAATTTCACATCAGAAGTCCCCGCATTTTTTTTACTTCCAATACCATTTCAAACTTTCATTAAAATGTCACAAATCATTTCATTTTTTTCTGTACGCCGATTGCCATAAAGAAAAAGTTCAATGCCGATGTTTCCTATATCCATCCCCCCTTTTTTCAAAACAAAAAAACGATCTTGAAAGATAACTTTTCTTTCAGAGTTGACGGCTTGAACATAAAAGCCTACAATCGCTACCCCTATACCTGTACCTGACAAAAAACATGTTTTCTGCGTCTTCAACATTTCAAAGGTACAATATCTTCACACATACCAATTCCGATTTTTTTATCAACAACTTGTAGTAGCAGTGCCGCAGTAAAGTATGATCCTTGCAGATGGAGACAGCTATTTATACAGACTCCGGACCGTATCTTGACACCTCGTAGTAGGCGGTGCTATTTATCAACTCGTTTTTCCCTCATTGGTCCTCTGGTACAAGTAACTTACACAATAGATATTAATTGGTTAGCTGTAAATACACTCACAGTTTTTATTAACTTGGGGCTCCGCCCCTCGTGAATGAAAAACTGTGAGTGTATTTACAGCTAACCAATTAATATCTATAGTGTAACTATAACTTATTCTATTAACCTTTCAAATACATTATTTACAGTGATTAATTATCAAAGGTGAAT